AAAACAGAGTTAACGTTTCGGGTCACTGGACCCGAAACGTTAACTCTGTTTTCTCCTCCACAGATGCTGCCAGACCTGCTGAGCTTTTCCAGCAACTTTGTTTTTGTTCCTGATTTACAGCATCCGCAGTTCTTTTTGATGTGAATTGATAGTCAGTTCGAACAAGTTCTGCCTGAGGTATATGGTTTTTAATAGGATGGGGATGCAGTGTCCCTGCAAATTATTATTCAGTCCACAATGCTCTCTGTATATTCATATCGTAGCCACTCCCCACCCCACTGATACCTGTTATTTTGTCCTAAATCCAGTGTTCATTGTTCTATATATCCACCTTTGAAGGCCACTACTCTCTAAATTCACCCTAATATCCATACTTCTCGGTATTAACCAGTCGTACTCATTATTCTCTGTATACTCATGCCTGGGCTGAACTTTATTGATGGGGATGGAAGGTGCACACTGCTTGACCCCCTCTGGAATCAAAGAAAGGAAGGTAGAGGCTAGCAACCTGACATATTTTACATCCTTATGCCAAGTGCATTCCCAGCAGGGATGGGGATGTGCTCAAAATCTAGCCCCGATGTCCATTATTCTTTACCCTGTTGGCCATTATTCTTCAGATTTACCTCCAGTATACTTCTCCCTGCATATTCACCCTCGGGTGCACATTATTCTATTTCCTTATTGATAATTGTCAATTTCCAATTATACTTTTGCTAGTAGAATCAGCCCTGTTGGTATATCATAATCATGGACATTTTGTTCTCGTTTTGATAAGGTACAGGGCTCATCTCTGAAGTATGACATATCTAGCCGGTCTCTGTCAAAAATAGAAGGAATGATAGAAGAACCTGACTCAGATTCAGCAGATCCTAGTCATCTGGACCCAGCTCATTTATCACAGAATGGAAGTGTTTCAACCCCTACATTAAGGACGAAGGTAAGATCAGTATTTTGGGGAGATATCAGCAGCAACATACTTGTTTCTGGAAAAATTCTGATTAGGCCTCTGATTGTGACCATAATTTTGTGTGCCATGCTTTTGCAACAATGTTAGAATTTTAGAGATCACACACAGAACAATTATTAGAATGATAGCAAGGATATTGAGCTATGTAGAGAGTCTGGAGGGCCTGGGATTGTTTTCTTCAGGTGCAAAGAAGGTTGAGGGGAGGCTTACTTGAGGTGTTCAAAATTATGAGGGGTTTTGTTGAGTTTCAAGGATGGACCCAGGTTTCACTTGTTAGATTTTAGGGGTTTGTGATCATAATTACCTAATATAGGCAGTTGATCATTTGTAAGCATTTTCTAGATACTTTTGAGTTTGTTAAAAAGCAGCAGTTTAGATATGACATTAGATTATGATTAAGTAGACAAAAAAATGGAAGGATAAGACCAATTACTAACTGCAGATTCAGTTATCAGAGGATACAGCTTTTGGCCAATTGGCAAAAGAATTTTTGGGGAGACAAAGAAAATTATTTTTACATCTTTGTAAATTACTTCTGGCTATCTCTACTTCTAATAAAAGCAAAATACTGTGGGATTGATCTGAAATGAAAACAAAATGCTGGAGAACATCAGGTCTGGCAGCATCTGTGGAGAGAAAAACAATTAACCTCTTGAGTATAATATGTCATCGTGAAGAAGAGCCATAACAGACTCAATATTTACTTTGTTTCTCTCTCTACTACTTCTTCATTTGTGATTTGTCCTCAGTAAACAAACTTATCTACTTGTTCCAGTATCGAAACCTTCATTTCAAGTTTAATTCTACTCTCTTCTAATGTATTCTTTCTGATCACTATTGCTTTCAAATTCAATCCATAATCTAAGATTCTAGATTTTACTTGATCGATAAAATTTTCTGCCGTTTACTGAATTGTCACATGATCCAGATTGAAATTTGAAAGCGAGGTGACAAACAACATAAAATCTTTCAATGCCATTCCTTCAAGCAGGTGAAATCTATTCCACAAATCTAGTCTCCAGAGAGACAGGCCTACATATTATCACTATCATAGATTAGGGTAATGCATTTGATCTGTTTAGATGGACTTTAGCAAGGCTTTTAATAAGGCAAACTGCTCAAGAAAGTAGAAGCCAAAGTTGCCGCCTAATTTTTCTTTTTATGCATGGACCTCCAAGGTCCCCACATAGCAGCGACTTCTGGAACTGGAAATTAATGTTGTGATCTGTATTAGTACACCAATTGCAGTTCATGGAACATTGGAGCAGCTGCACAGCTTAGAGGGAATGTTGGTAAGAACCCATGGGATCCAAGGCAAAGTGGCAGGTTGAATCTAAAATTGGCTGAATGGTAGGAAGCAGAGGGTGATCGTAAAGGATGCTTTTTTTTAACTGTTTCCAGTGGGGCACCACAGTGCTCGGTGCTGGCTTGGGTTTGTGGCGTGCATCAATGATTTGGACTTAAACATAGTGGCTGATATCAAGAAGTTTGCAGATGACATGAAAATTGATCAGGTGATAGTGAGGGGGATGTCTGTAATCTGCAGAAAGATATCAATGGACTGGTCAGATGGCAGATCTGTGGCAAGTGGAATTAAACCCAGAAAAGTGAGGTATTGCAGATGGGGAACCTAACAAGGCAAGGAATTACACTATGAATGGTAGAACCCTGACAAGTACTGAAGATCAGAGAGTCACTGCTGTGTATATCCACAGATCCCTGAAAGTAGCAGGACAGATAGATGAGACAGTTATGATGACATATGGACTAATTGCTCTTATCAGCTGAGGCATCGAATACAAGAGCAAGGAGATTATGCTGAAATCATATAAAATGCTGGTTAGGCCACGGGTGGAGCACTGCATGTAGTTCTGGTCACCACTATATGGGAAGGATGTGATTGCATGGGGAGGATGTAAGGGATATTTACCAGGATGCTGCCTAGACTGGAGCGGTCTGAACTGGGAGGAAAGATTGGACAAGCTGGGGTTGTTTTCCTTTGAGCAGTGAAGGTTGAGAGGGGACCTTAGAGTAGGACTGAGGGGCATAGAAAGGATGGGTGGAAAGGCACCTTTTCCATCACAGGTCAAGTATCCTTGATCCACACTTCCAAAAACCAAAAAGGCCTAAAAACTGTGTTTTTGAAAGTGCAGCAGGTGGACTGAACGGATCTAGCCAGACCTGGATGGACCCAAAGGACTGAAAATCCAATGTCCAGGGCTATTCTTCTAAGTATGAAACTTAGAGATAAAACTACAACACCACAGGACTTGGGAAAGTTATTGCTTAGGAAATTTATCATTGCCTACAAGTCTATATCCCAACAGATCGCAAGATTTCTGGATAAAACATACCTGACCTGTAGTGAAGGGTCAATGACCAGGGTTTCAGATTTAAGGTAAAAGGTGATTTGGTTGCTGTCAGGGCTTTGTCCACTTCCATTTGTTTGTAATACCTTGGAAAAACTTGACTTAAACTTTGTTATTCCTGATATAATCCATTTTTAAATTGAATCTTTAAGAGCTTTAACTGGGGGGTGACCAGGGTTCAGGTGCTTCTTGGCACATTAGGATGCAGGTTTTCCACTTGGAAAACTTATTTTAACAGGAACATGATGTGAAGGTTGCTGTCTTCTTTCATTGGGTGTTGCACCTTCAAATGCCTTGTATTTATTTTTATTTTATTCTTGAATTCTTAGTCCCTGCCCACAAAGGAGGTACCTGAGAATTTAGGAAGGAGAAAGAGTGAGAATGGCCAACCTGAGATTTCAGAAATGATCATTGCCGAAGGCAGGAGCTTATCACCCGGTCCAGAAAGGAGCAGTTTGCCACTTGTCGGAAAAGTGCCTGATGGCCAGATCATGACAAACATGACTAAGGTGGGCCTGGGAGTATACTGACTGGCATCAATCTGGCTGGCAGAAAATAGCATGATAAAAGCAACAGATGGTTGCCATGGTTAGTTGGGGTCATGGTTCATTGAACACAATTTCAGTTCTGACAATTTTCACTGCGGTTGTCCAGCAGAATTCAGCAGGGCCATGAACGGCTGTTGTAAACAACTATCAATGTCATTATTCCGCTGAGACCTCTACTGACCACCTACCAAAGCTATGATAGGTGTTTTGGCCGATCAGAGCCCTCAACACTCTCTACGATAGGGAGAAGTTAAGAGGAGGCCTTTCCGATAATCAGGGATCAAAATTAGGAAAGCCAATGCAAGTCATTCTGCTGCATTATCTAGTTACTTGGTTTCAGAACAGGGGCAATAGGAAGATCCATGTGATAGAAATGAGTTAAGTATCTTAATCTCCTGCTCCACGTAAGAGCCTTTGGAAGAAAATAGAGGCAGCTGTCTTGGTGGCTCAAAAGCCAAAGCACTGGCCCCAGAAATGGTCAGGCTTTTGAATGTGTGTGCTAGCACCAATGGTTTTCAGGAAACCCAGTCGCAGTGAATGCCAGCTATATAGAATGTAAGAAACCCCACATTTAAAGAATCCAATTGCTGTTTTCCATCACCTTCCATTCAGCCATCTCATCATTACCACTCCTGACCTGACTCCATACTACTGCAAACCAACCCCCAATCTCAGATCTTTGCATTGAAATGCCCCCCTCAAACCCTGACAGTATATACCAGAGCAGAGCTGTGATAAGAGTAGGCCAGACTTGGCTAAAGTCAAAGTGCAAAATAAACCAATGTGCCAAGGCACCATGATATATTCTCACTGTTGCTGTGAAGTGCCATTACTGACACCATGTTCACTCACATCAAAACTCTGATTTGTCATTGTTAGCTCTGCCTAAGCTTTCAAAGTACAAAACTATTCCACACAATCGTTGTGTACCTCCCACTTCACGTATGTTGTGGAATATTCTATGACTCCACCAACTGCACTTAACCAATCAACCTTCAAGTATGCTGTGACTAAATGTAGGGGCCCTGAAATTTCAGTGCAACACCCAGAATCACAATTTCTTACACCTCACTGGCCTGGGGAATTCATTAATCTCACTGGGAGTTACGAGGGAGATTGGAAACAACACTGCTTAATTTTTGGGTTACACATATGTGCAATGTGATTAAAATAACTTGTCTGCTGTACCCTGAAGTGCCCATCATATTTGTTCTATGCAACATTAAATCTTCCTTTCATTCTTGCATCTTTAAACAGGAAAAGCAAAAGACAAGGAGACGTAAAAGCAAGCAGACATCAATGGTAAATTTCCTCTTTTGTTGCTAATTGTAAGCACATGGTCTCACAACCTTTTTATCCTCCTTCATCTTCACTGCGTCAATATTAAGGATCATGACCTTATTTCGGCCAAATGAACATTGGCAAATAGACTGCAATGTGGGTAAATAAGAGGTTTTTAATTTTGGATCCAAGAAAAATAAATTTGCATATTTTCTGAAATGGTATAAACCTAGGAACCACAGAGGAACAAAATGATTTCGGAGTTAAATTACATTGATTATTAAAAACCAATAGATAAATACAAAAAGCAATTAAAAAGCCTGGTGGAATTTTGCTGTTGATCACAAGATAGCTGGAAGAAAAATAGCCATTGTCAATCATGAACCAGTTAACGTTTTTGTGACTGAATTTGAAGAATTTCTTTTGAAATTCCTTAAGTCTTTAATGGGACTATGAAGGGGATGGAGTTGAGACAGAAAAATTGAGTTGAGGTACAAATCAACCACAATCTAATTAAACGATTGATAGCAGATTGGAGGGGCTGTATGACATGTTGCTTCTCTTCGAACGAGCTCAACTCTTGAGGGCATTCAGCTGGGCTACAAAGGCGGATACATTGGGAAGGTGTCAGTGATATGTTATTCCTTGTGTTGCAGACAGATGGTCCTAGTCCAGATGATTTCAATATTACCAATACACATCTTCTTGCATCAAAGGTGAGCAATAATGGGATCGAGTAATCTGCTAAACACAACTTGAGAAGGTAACATTGCTGCGATTCCAATCCCGAATGGGGACTCTAAGACAAATAGATTTACATGGTACACCCCAGAATTGAATCCTTTGAATGAAGTGCCTCTCCTGCCACTACCTGTAAATCTCTGCTCCAATGCCCTTCTTTCAGTATTAAAAATGGAGACAATTAAATCATTTTGAGAACAATTTAATGAGAAAGAGTCCAGATTCTTTTATCACATTACTGGATGAGATTATGGTTTTCAACAAACAGCCAGACTCTTATCAGAAAAGAGGTTAACTTCACAACATTTAGGAAAATGGAAGTAGATTGTTTTGAGTGCCATTTTGATTTCTCACCTAGAAGAGGTGACGAAACAGTAGTGAGTACTCTCAGTATTGAACAGGGGGCCAGACCATATTCAGCTTTAAGCCTCACTTGACTGCCATCAGCAAACTCCCCTATCCTCACTGGGTGCTGAAGAACAGTTTGCTGAATGGGCAGATGTTGGAAAAATGGCAGCTTTGTGAGCAAACCAAGCTGGAAGATATCAGGAAAGGAAGGCAAAGTGCACTGAGAAAGGATCTATCAAATAGACAATTGTAGGCCACAGTTTTATTAAATAGCCAGGAGAAATATTTGCATATCTGTACTGCATGCTGTGCCCTACAACAGATTTTAATTTAAAGTTTGCTTTTATCAATAATAACGCTGATTATTGGCCCAAGGGTCACCAATTTAAAACTGAGATGAGGAAAAATCTTTTTTTCATAGGGTTGAGTTTTTGGAGCCCTCTTCCCCAGAGAGAGGTAGAGGCAGGGTCATTGAACATTTTTAATGCACAGTAGATAAATTCTTGGCTGTCAAGGAAGTCAAAGGGTATCGGGGTTAGGAAGAAATGTGAACTTGAGCCCACAATTAGATCATCCATGATCTTATTGAATGGCAAAGCAGGCTTAATGGGACCAAATACTCCTGTTCCTAATTCATTGATACATAATTTATAATCATATGTTTTCCAAGCCAAAAATAAAGACTAATCAGTACTTGAAGACAAAATCTAAACGTAATCATTTACCTCTTCTCTGTAGCTCAACAAATTTGTGTCTCACCTGCTAAAAACATTACTTTCCAAGCTTTGTGAATTATTTGAGGTGTTAATCCTTTCTTGGCCTTCACATGGAAGATGTTTCTCTGCAGAAACATTCTAGCGAATTAAACTTCATTTCTTTCTTCACTTACACAGGATCATTCACACATCCACACAGATCCAGATTCTGTCAGAGATTTGGGAAATTGAGGTGCTCTATTCAAATATGTAATGTCATGTGAAGCTTTAATAACTGGGCTGTTTTGACAAATGGTTTGGACTTCAAAGTGAACCTCTTATTCTTCACACATGATTACATAGCCAGACTTATTTTAAAAAGAACTTAAATTTGTAAAAGCTGCAACAGTCAATAATTTATTCCTTAGCGCACACAATAACTTAGATGAAATATGGTATAAAATGTGGAATGTTAGATGAGTATGATAAATAGCAAGGGAAGGAATTAAGAACCAAGTTTGTACTGAGACAGTGAATAGAATCAATGGATCATAGAATCTCTACAGTGTGGAAAGACGCCATTCGGCCTGTCAAGTCTGCACCTACATTCTGAAGAGCAACCCACCCACACCCAACCCCTTCCCTATGCCCATAACCCCACATTTACCATGGATAATGCACGTAGCAATTACATCACCAAGTGTAATTATGGCTTTTTGAGTTATCTGAATGTTTTTCACTGTTTAACATTGGTTTAAATGCACAATGAATAAATTCATGACCTTGTATAGAATGGGCTTGTTGCAATGCCAGCAGCCAAAAGCTATGCCACAGGCTCGGCTACTTCCAACATTGCTTTAATAATAGAGGTTGAAAATATTCTTCACTCAAGAGTCGGCAAAAATTGACTTGATAACAAGACACGTTTTAAAATTAAAATGTGTGAATATTTAATTAATTCATATGAAATTCCTTTCAGAGTTGTCACCGTTTATTTAAAACAGGTTAACACTATTATTAAAATAGAAGTTTAGGATACACTTAAATATTCATAGAACACAATTTGATTTCAAGGACACAGTTTCATTCCTCATCACATTGGCAAATTAACATGAAATCAAAATTAATCAAGAAATTATGCTTTGTTTGCTCTTTAATTGATCAATTATTGTCTTAATGAAACTATTTTTAACTATGTTACTACTTAAGTAATTGTTTTGTGTTAAGTGAAAATGAATTCTTGTAATAACTGAAAAGGGAACTTTGCAAGAAGAAAAATAATGTTTTAAAACTTTCTAATATTATTAAAAGATTCATCTGCTTCAAATATTTAAGGTTTAAAAAGGAATCAAATTTAATTAAAATGTATATAAAATTCAAGGTTTTGCCCAGAATCTAAAAATAATATTAATTTCATCTCTTACTATTAGTGGTTACTAAGTGTAATTGGAATATTGTATTGATTTATTTTTTGATATTTATTGATTGTTTCAAGATACATGTGCTGTTCTAGAGGTTTGCTGTTTTCTGCTATATTATGCTGTGGCAATATCTACATGGGCATGCTTGTTTATTTACAGCAGTTGACATGTGTAGCAAATTAGCACAGCAGTATCAGTTGACCCTAAGCACCTACTCCTGTTCCCGTGGTTACAGCCGAGGGGCTAAGTCAGATGACTCATTGGCCTAAAGTATTACTCTTTTATATTTGGAATTTTGGGTCAAACATAACTAGTTGACAAGAGTTAAACTGTATTCAGTTCATAATTTATTGAATGAAAACATCTTTCCTTAAGTCCTCTCTCAGCTTGTTTTGTCGGTTTTAATTCAGTTCCTCATGGATCAAGTTGAAAGCTCAAAAGTAATTTGATTTGGTATACAATGACTGTAAACTAGCAATCTCCTTCTGGTACCAACAATTTGGAAATTAAAATCTGCATTGGTTCAGTACAAAATGCTGTGCTGAGTTAAATATAAGGCTCTTGTTGGAATGGAGCTTTTCTCTACTAGTAGCCCAGTGCTTCCCAAACCTTATTCCACTGTGAATCCATTTGAGGCATGAAAGTTGTCACAATGCCTAGGTGAGAACTGTGAAGGGGGAGGATAATAAGTGTAAATGGGAGCCTTTAAGTCAGGTTGGGACGCCATTGTTATAATTTAGTCAGAACTCCATATATAGCTCACAATCCCACAATTCATGCTCATGTCCTGACCCCACTTTAGGAAGCCCTGAACTAGCCCATTTTATACATGACACCCAAGTGACAATGGTAGATGATTCTGGCATTCCTCAAACACAATTTTGACTAAAGAAACACGGTCGAATCATTACTTATGCCATGATTTTACTGTGAGGTGGGATAAAAAGGCTGTTCCAAATCTACCTCAGCCAGAACAGGGATTGAATCCTGTTTCATTGGTGTTATCCTGAACCACATGTAAACCAGTTGGCCAGCTGAGGTAAGCAGCTTCCCCAGCAAGCATATGAACTCACCCAATAGAAGAAAAAACATTAAAGACTGAAGAATGCATACTGAGATCTATCAAAAAGATATAGACTAGTTTAGCTACCTTTCCTTGGTCTTAATAATTCAGACTTCATTTAATCCAACTGCCAATGAACAGGCTACACAGCATAATTTCAGCAAAGGCTTCACCTCTCAGAAAGGGCTGTGGAAAGAATTTGCTTTCAAGAAATTCAAAATGCCTAAAAAGCTTCTAGATTTGAGTTACCAGTGTCTTACTGGCACTTTCAACCATCCTAAAATACTTCATTGTGAGTAAATTATCTTGTTTTATCAGGGTATTTTCATAGTTTTGTTAAAGTGTAATAAAACGTCATAAAGGGTAATGTTGAATTTTGTGTTTTGTGCTTAATATTTGGAAAATATGTAAACTAAAAAAATAAACTATCCTTGTCTTAAAAGAAAAATTCTCCTTGAGCTTTATTAAACAATATTTGAGTAACAAAATAAATCTACACCAGAAGGATATCTCACCAACTAAAAACCTCACTGAATGGCTGTTAATTATTGTCTGAAAGGGATCTGTAAAGGAAACTTGAGTGAAGATTACCTGGTTAGTAGAACCCACTGCTTTTCCTTATGTTCAAATTTAATAGACCTAGAGGACATGAAACATACATTTTAAACTTACCGTAAAAGCTTCTTTAAAATGATTTATTGAATAATTTTTAACAAAAGATTTCCTGGCCTAATGCAATGACCTTTGAGTCCACTGAGTGCAGCATGTATTGGAATATCAGACAATATTTTGATCAATGCACTTAGTTCTCCAACATTTACTTGCCTGTGAAATCCAGGCAAGACTCAGAAATATGTCTCCTTCATTTTAAAGGTGCTTAAAGATAGGACTGGAATAAGTGGGAAATAAATGCTGGCTGGCCAGCCAGTGACGCTCCGATCCCACAAATGAATTTTAAATAAAACCCATGCAGCTTTGGGGACGGATTCAGTCTATCACTTCAACGTCAAAATCCTCCAGTAACTTATCCCTCTAGGCTAAACACATCTACACAATAGCCAGTTACATTTATATGTTGCCTTTTAATGCAGAAAAACATTCCATGGTGTATCACAGGAATGTTAGATTTCACACTGACCCATATAAGGTGATATTAGAACAGGTGACCAAAAGCTTGGTGAAAGGGGTAAGGCTTGAGAAACATCTTAAATGAGGAGAGAATGGAAGGGAGACAGTAAGGTTTAAGGAGAAAATTTCATGCCATTTAGGACCAAGGCAGCAGAGGGGTAGGGCCACCAATGTTGGAACCTTCAATTGCAAATGAGCAAGATGCTAGAATTGGAGGGGTGCAGAACTCCTGTAGAGCTAGAGCATTTACAGAAATAAGAGATATTACCTTGTTTTACCTGGAATGTTTCAATGGGAATGGACATTCTGCCTATTCAATG